CATCGTCAAAATCCGGCTTACTTTGAGCATGTGTTTTAAACAGTTTAATCCCTTTGTGAATTGGAAGGAAGGAAACATACTTTTTAAATGTAAAGAACATGAACAAACACTTGCCTTCATTTTAATTTGATTAGATTAACATATTTTATTATTATTATTATTATAATGATTGTTGGATTATTATGGGTTGAAGTACTGCTCGTCCCTTGATCTTCGTTAAAACTATAAAAGCCCTCGCAGGATTATATTTTAATCCTTCAGCTGCTGATGGATTTTCTACTGCACTTAGATGCTTTTTAATTCCCCCACATCACCAGTACTCACATGTTACTGTGTTTTAAGTCAATTAATTCAACAGTACTTTGAATTCACTCCTGCTGAGGTTCTTTTTCTTCTTCTTGTGACTTTTTGTTGGCAGCATCTCGCCAATTCTTGCAGATTATTTGCACAACCCCTGCCCTTGCATAGTGTTAAGGTGGTGTTCCCTATGCTAATAATTAACAATTGGCCACACTCCTCCCCTTTATGATCAAATGGGATGCATCATTCAGCAATCCTGAAGGAAGTGCATACAGTACATGGATGTTGCTGTATAAGGAGTGTGTGTGTCATTATTTACACATCATTTGCCTTTGTGCTCTACTGATTTGAAATTCAATTCACTGATGCCAGCAGCTTAAGTTACACTCAGTCTGAAGTAGAGTGCTGTGTGAAAGTGGATGGGGTTAACTTTTTACAAACGCCACTGCATTCAAGTTTTATTTGCACCCACAATGCACTAGAGATACTTCAAACCTGCTGTGTGTGACTTCATCTCCACAGCATGAAGGCAACGTTTGTTTAAAGCTGATAAGATGCTTTGACAGTGAGAGAGACAAATCAAGAGGGTATCTCCTATATACTGAAAGTTAGCCTTTTTAGTACAAACTCTTTGTGAAATGTCTCTACCATTGCCACCCTTAGATCCCGCTGCACCTGCATCCCTGATCCAAATCAACACATGTACCCAATTGGTGAAGATGACGCCTGTGACAAGACAGGTGAGTGGCTGGAAAACAGATTGATCACTGAGGGATTAGGTATCAGGAAGGCTTTCTAAATGAACTCTTAAAGAGGCCCTGTCATGCTTTCCTGTCGTGGTTTTATACTGTAGGTTAGTGTGCATGTAAATGGTCTGAAAAAGGCTACAAACCCAAAGTGAAATGTTGTTAAGAAAGTAAAGTACCAGCTTCTACTGTTTTCAGAGGCGGGGTGTCTGCAGAGAGCAGTGGAAGGGAAAGATGCCTCTGATGAAGAGGAGGATGACAGAGGGATGAGAGAGGAAGGACAGGGCTGCCTGTTGGAGGTGAAGAAGAGCCGACTGCACAGCTGTGGAAAAGGGTTAGCTAACATCCAACACGCCACTGTGGACACATTTTCCATATAACATGTCTGACTTTTCCTTTCCTTTCTCCCTGCAGATGTCAGAGCCATATGGGTTCTCAGAGTCACCTGCATGATAGAAACTTCATCAGCACTTTTAAGGACAGCAGGGGGCGCTACAGCCAGAAAGGACCAAACCAAGAGCAGCCAGAGGGAGGCAGCTTTGAAAAAGAAAAGGTGGGGAGAGAGAAACGTGGTTATGATAATGGATCAAATGCAGCCTAACAAAGAGCTATTACAAACAGGTTTAAAGCTCTAGAACAGGGGTGTCCAAACTACGGCCCGGGGGCCAAATGCGGCCCGCGGACCATTTTGAATCGGCCCACAGCAAATTCAAAAAGTATAATAAAATATGGCCCACAAATGAAACTTGTGCTTGTTATATTGTACTTCTTAAACATAAATGTAAAAATATATTACACAGTATTATTCATGTGTTAATAAGAAACATTTTCTAACAAATCTACGTTGATAAGAAAAAAAAACAATGACTTATTTACATAATAAGCTTGAAATATACCCTTCATATTTCTCCTTATTATAATCAATCTGAGGCTTCTCTTTTAAGAGATGAGCTGCCAACACTCACACGCATAATTTACCTACATTTGATTGATTGTGCTAACTTATAACTGAACTTATGAGGCTACATACCTCCAGTGAGTGGCCCAGCCCTTCGTATATTGTTCTGTGTGTGGCCCTCGATGAAAAAAGTTTGGACACCCCTGCTCTAGAACCAAGTTGTCAAATCAGGTATGGGAAAAGGAGAATTACCTGTGGACTAGTCTGTAGTGAAAGAGAAAGGAAGAAGTAAAGTTGATACTGTGTTGCTTTTGCCAGAGGCCTAAAGAAGAGGAGGACAAGATGAGGCCGGAGGAGAAAGCACGTCTGTCTCTGCTGGAGGACAAACTCACTGATGCTCTCACACTGCTGCTGCAGCTACGCAACAAGGTTCACACACACACACACACACACACACACACACACACACACACACACACACACACACACACACACACACACACACACACACACACACACACACACACACACACACACACACACACACACACACATACCATGTATACANTTAGCTAACATCCAACACGCCACTGTGGACACATTTTCCATATAACATGTCTGACTTTTCCTTTCCTTTCTCCCTGCAGATGTCAGAGCCATATGGGTTCTCAGAGTCACCTGCATGATAGAAACTTCATCAGCACTTTTAAGGACAGCAGGGGGCGCTACAGCCAGAAAGGACCAAACCAAGAGCAGCCAGAGGGAGGCAGCTTTGAAAGAGAAAAGGTGGGGAGAGAGAAACGTGGTTATGATAATGGATCAAATATAGCCTAACAAAGAGCTATTACAAACAGGTTTAAAGCTCTAGAACCAAGTTGTCAAATCAGGTATGGGAAAAAGAGAATTACCTGTGGACTAGTCTGTAGTGAAAGAGAAAGGAAGAAATAAAGTTGATACTGTGTTGCTTTTGCCAGAGGCCTAAAGAAGAGGAGGACAAGATGAGGCCGGAGGAGAAAGCACGTCTGTCTCTGCTGGAGGACAAACTCACTGATGCTCTCACACTGCTGCTGCAGCTACGCAACAAGGTTCACACACACACACACACACACACACACACACACACACACACACACACACACACACACACACACACACACACACACACACACACACACCCTAACCCTAACCATTACCCTAACCCTAATCCTAAACCTAACCCTAACCCTAACCTAATGAAGTCTTCACACTAAAATTAATGATTCCCCTGTAAACAGATGTAGGTCCCCACA